GCCAGACCCACAGACTCTGCCTTGGTGATGTGTTTTCCTGGGCCCTGTATCTTGCATCCTGTCCCTGCATCCTGTCCCTGTCGCTGACCCTGCCTGATCTGATCTCTGCTGACTTCTCCTGCTCTGACCCCGGCTCGTTCCTGACCATCCCTCTGCCTGACCCTCTGTACCTCGCTGTCTGCTACCTGTTGAACCTGGCTTGTGACCCTGACCATTCTCCGCTTGCTCCCCCTGTACCTACCTGCCCGATTGATATTTGACCCGGCCTGCCTGACGACGCTTGCATTGTATGTACTGTTATCTGTGGTGGTTGGTTTGGGTTGTTTGCACTGTGTTATGTTTTAGTATTGCACTGCGTTTATGTTAGTATTGTTAGTGTTAATAAATTATATTGTTTATAATATATCTGAAGTCTGCGTTTCCCTGCATCAGTCACACACCTCTGGTCATACCCGGGAGCCCTGACAGTAACAATGCCACTCTCAGCTGCACCCTGCACAAAGATTTTCCAGCTCGTGGGACCACAATCTGTGTGCCAGCAGCCTGAGAGCGATTGTTACTGGGTTAGGTTAATTATGCAATTAACCCTTCACACTGTCACCACCTCCTTTTTACAGAGAAGGAGGAAACTCACAAATCCTAGCAATAACTCTATGATTTTAGCATAAGTGTCTGTAGCACACACTGTCACTACAGACAAGTATGTTCAGAGGATTATTACATACAGTAGCACTCTTCAAGAGGCAGAGATGCTTTAGTTTGCATTAAAAGATTTAGAGACAGTTTCAACACTTTTCAAAATAGGATTTATTACTAAAAGGGTCAAAATGGTGCAATTAAAATATTTACAGAAAAATATGTTACAAAGATATAAAGAGAACAATAAAGCAACAGAGAAATAAAAGAAAGGAATTAAGAAGGCAGAATACTTGCAATGTTCTTGGTTTTAGCAGAGTCCAATTGTGCAAGCAAAAAGGTTGCCTTGGCTTTCATGTCCGTTAGATGTTTCCTGATTGATGTTAAGCAAGAGCTTTCTTTCCCCAGGCCTATCAGTCTTTTTCTATGATATGAAAGGGGTGTCACCTGAGAACAACTGACCAATCATCCAGTTTGGGGATGGGTGGTAGGCAGCCCCTAAGTTAATGACCAAGTCCCAACTGCAGTTTCATACTAATATTAATAACTTCCAGCATGTGCTGGTGGTATTCTAGCATCTGTCAGATTAATATTAAAAATTAAATTTCAAACCCAGGGATACCAAACACAGCATACTCTTGTCACCCAGGTGGGAAGAGACTGCTTTCTTCTCTCTCCTATGTGCTAATATATTCATGTATGATCTTGTTTGGCTTGCACTAAAATGATCTATCCAAATATATACCTAATATTAATGAGCCCAGTTCCTGTTGATTTTTATGAACTATATGTGAAATGGTTACATGTGGAATGGATGTTTTATGGCACGCCCTGCATTCCTAATGGCCTAACAGGTCATGTGTGTGACGGCTAACTGAGTTATTGTTTTACGCTCGGGCAGAGGAAAGTGTCTCTGCCATGTAGACATCCTGCCAAGCCTAATTAGCAGTTTACAGCTCTTGGAGTTTCATCTATCTGTGTTTTATTTAAGATAAGAGGCTCTTTTGAAGTTATGTTACAACTTACAGCTACAAATTCCATTTCTAGAGGAGGAAGGAAAGGAGAGACAAAATGGCTGAGACCTAACAAGATGGCTGTAGCATACAGCGCCCATGTCTCTATTGCGCACAAGCATCACAGGTGCAATTTCCCATTGAAGTCTATAGAGCGTGATTTCCTATTGAAGTCTATAGGGCACAATTTCCCATTATTGTCTATGGGGGGCAATTTCCCATTGAAGTCAATGGGAGGCAGTGAGTGAACCGAAGCGTCAGGATGCAATTGCTAGTAGCCATGGCGACCCGGTGCCTGGGATTTGTCGAGCCCTGCTCTAACCCTTCTCCCTCCAAGTTCCTGTAAATAATGCCCTTTTCTTCTAAAAAAAAAACTCTATTTACCCTTACTGGTGAAGAAATTTACAAGTAATTGAAAAGTCTCTTTTTCTTTAATAATAAACATGTTATACTTGCCTGCTCTGTGTAATGGTTTTACTTAAAGCATCCCTGATCCTCCTCTTCTGGGTCCCCCACTTGCACTCCAGGCTCCTCCACCCTGCTGTGTGCCCACATAGTAAGTTGCTTGCTATGGTGGCACTTGTGTGGGTTCAAACCTACTTTGGCTTGGCCCTGCCCCCAATCCCTGGTCACTGGAGTTGATTGACAATAGCAGGAGCCGGTCTATGGGCGTGATGACGTCAGGAATGGTACGGGTTGGCAGAAGCAGCGGGGACTGGTTTTGTGCATGGAGGATCACTGTATTAGGTAAGCATGTCTCCACTTTCTGAACCCTTAAATAAAAAGGAGCATTTAACCCAAGCAGTACAAACACAGCCCCACTGCATGGGAAAATAATATTTTTGGCCAGAATTCTTCTTTAAAGCTGAACTCAAGGATCCCACTATTTTGCAAATGAATATCCTTTTCCCTGAGCTCTGTTAAACAGCTGCCAATGTTTAGGGATAGTGCTCCTTTCTCGTGCCAGGAGGAGGACTTTCTCCCTTGCTACACTTCATATCCATTTGGGAAAAGAAAACTACATTTCCTATTATACAAAGGGAAATGCAGGAAGTCACAGCCAGTGTGTCCACTGAATCTGAAGAGGAGTGGAGGGGGAGTGGTGGACAGAGTTGGTGCCAAGGCTGTACCTTGGGCATGCCCACATAGTCAACTGCAGTCACATACACATTGTGGGCTGCTCAGACCAGGAGTCTAAGGCTGGCCATACACTATGCAATTTTCTTACAATTTTCTGTCCAATTTCTGCCCAATTTCTTTTTGATTTACCTTCAACTATGTAGTGCAATGGCCTGCCTAATGCATACAATTGAAAGCGTTGTTTAGGTTTGGCCTCATATTATATGGTTTTTGGTAAATCTAAAGCAAATTTCTCAAGAAAATTGTATATTGTATGACCAGCCTTCGACTGCTACAGTGAGCAGGGGTATCAAATCCCCCCAGACGAAGTGCGTGCGCACGAAACGCGTAGGAGGAGCCAGCACCGCCGTGACGTCACGCCGCCGGAGCATCGTGGAGCTCCGGCGGCCATCTTTAACACTGGACGGTTAGTCCATGTAACCGCTTGTTTATTTACTGATTTTTTACTTTAAAAAATCCTCGTTTTGCTCTAATAAAGTATATACTTACTACACTATGGAGATGTCTCTGCTTTGACTCCCTTGGGGAGTATCAATCCACAGCCATCCACCTGACTACTGGAGAAGGAGCTTTCACAACCACTATAGAGCAGTCTATAGGCTACTACCTGAGGGGTATTCTGGACCACCTTGATGCCCTACTAATAACATCCAGGACCACTGAAGGGAGGATATTGGATTCCAGACATCACCCTGACCAGCAGATGACCTCAGGAGAAACATATATTTACAAACGCTCATTAAATTGTGCGTTCTGGTGAGTGTGCATTCTTTCTGCACTTTATCTTACAGCACCTTACCACCAGGAGGATACGATTATATGAAAGCACCTGAAGTCACTTGAAATCACCATATGAACTGTTAATTTAATGATTTATATTTATAGTGTCTCTTTTGTAGCGCTGCACTTTTGTTTTATATTGTTTTAGAGGTTTTATGGTTACCTGGTGTACAGCTGCTATACTCTCTTTGTGGGTGCACTCGCATATATTTTCCATATAGTGAGCAGGGGTATAGTTAAGTCACCGCTCGCTGTACAGAACTACAGTGGGGCAGAGACAAGACCGGTGGCTGCAGGGATACACAGTATAGTGACCACTGGTCTAACAATAGGGTTGTAACAGGAAATGAAGCTTAACTTCAAATAATCCACAGAGAAAAAAAATCCACTCCTGCACTCATGAGTCCTCCCATCCATCCACTACTGGAAAAAGGATCCATATCTGCTATCCCCCGATTGCCACCAAGGTCTGTATGAGCAATCTGTATCTAGAACAAGAGAAAAGAGAACAAGGGAAGCACTCCCCTAGCGTAAAACCTTCTTTTATTTGAAGCGATTCTAAAGGTACATTTTTTTGTTTGTAAAATAACAAACATGTCTATACTTGCACTTGGTTTTGCACAGAACAGCCCGGATCCTCCTCTTCTTGGGTCTCGCAGGCTCTCCTGGCCCCTTCCTGCTGTTGAGTGCCCACCACAGAAAGCAGCTTGCTATGGGGACACCCGCTGCTCCGTACGTCCATTCACACATGGAGCTGCGGCTTGGTTTCGCCCCCTCTCTCCTCATTGGCTGACTGGCTATGATTGACAGCAGCGGGAGCTAATGGTTCACGCTTGCTGTCTCAGCCAATGAAGAGGCAGCGACCCGGGACAGCCAAGGCTGTAGTTCACATTGCTGGATCGCAGTGAGGCTCAGGTAAGTATTGAGGGGGTTGGGGGCACTGCTGCACACAGAAGGTTTTTTACCTTCGTGCATAGAATGCACGAAGGTAAAAACCTTCAGCCTTTACAACCACTTTAAGGACAAGCATAAGAAATCCAATGCACTACCAACGGAGCCCTCCAACAATGGGCTGTTATGGCTTCCACTGGTCCCCGGCTCTTCCATGTTAACCCGGTCTTCCTTCCGGGTTCCAAATCTTCAGCTGGTTGAATGGCCAGGCTGCGGTGACGTCACTCCTGCACATGCACACAGGAGCCACATGCGTGGCTCAGATCGCATTACCACTGACAGGCAGGGTCTCTTCTGTTTTAAAAACCCTGCCTACAAGTGGATTTTTTTAATGCTGGAGTTTACTACCACGTTAGTAGAGTCACCTTTACAAAGTGGATCTATGGTTAAAGTGGAACTTTAGTCAAAAAATTAAGTCCTGCTAGATAACTTCAAGCTGGTCCCTTTTGCAGGTATAGCTATGGTAAACATTAAAAATAAGTTTAAAATCCAGTAATACACTCACCCTGCTCAGCACATGCTCAATTACTCTCCAGGCCAATCTGCTGACAGCCTTAAAGTGAAATTAAACCCTCCTATCCTTTGCAGCCAAGGAAGCTGCTTCTGTTTGATCTCCAACTGCCAAACCAGCCATTTGATGGTTTGACAGTTTGAGGACAAAAGCAAATGTGACAGTTAGCAATCACGGCATTCCAGGAATGTAACTGTTTTTTGAAACAGTTACTCAATGAGTTTAGTTCCACTTTATGATTTAATATTGTTTTGGGGCTCTGGGCTTCAGCAAAATGGCAGCCTCCAGCAAGAACAAACAGGAACCATTCTGGGGGCATTTTACAGCACACACTAATTTTGGTAGCCTAATTATTCATGTGGAATGTACAGTATCTCACAGAAGTGAGTACATCCCTCACATTTTTGTAAATATTTTATTATATCTTTTCATGTGACAACACTGAAGAAATTACACTTTGCAACAAAGTAAAGTCGTGAGTGTACAGCTTGTATAACAGTGTAAATTTGCTGTCCCCTCAAAATAACTCAACACACAGCCATTAATGTCTAAACCGCTGGCAACAAAAGTGAGTACACTCCTAAATGAAAATGTCCAAATTGGGCCCAAAGTGTCAATATTTTTTGTGGCCACCATTATTTTCCAGCACTGCCTTAACCCTCTTGGGCATAAAGTTCACTAGAGCTTCACAGGTTGCCACTGGAGTCCTCTTCCACTCCTCCATGACGACATCACGGAGCTGGTGGATGTTAGAGACCTTGTGCTCCTCCACCTTCCGTTGGAGGATGCCCCACAGATGCTCAATAGGGTTTAGGTCTGGAGACATGCTTGGCCAGTCCATCACCTTTACCCTCAGCTTCTTTAGAGAGGCAGTGGACATCTTGGAGTCTTGTGTTTAGAGTCGTTATCATGTTGGAATACTGCCCTGCGGCCCAGTCTCCGAAGGGAGGGGATCATGCTCTGCTTCAGTATGTCACAGTACATGTTGGCATTCATAGTTCCCTCAATGAACTGTAGCTCCCCAGTGCCGGCAGCACTCATGCAGCCCCAGACCATGACACTCCCACCACCATGCTTGACTGTAGGCAAGACACACTTGTCTTTGTACTCACCTGGTTGCCGCCACACACGCTTGACACCATCTGAAATAAATACGTTTATCTTGGTCTCATCAGACAACAAGACATGGTTCCAGTAATCCATGTCCTTAGTCTGCTTGTCTTCACCAAACTGTTTGCGGGCTTTCTTGTACATCATCTTTAGAAGAGGCTTCCTTCTGGAATGACAGCCATGCAGACCAATTTGATGCAGTGTGCGGCGTATGGTCTGAGCACTAACAGGCTGCTCCCCCCCTTCAACCTCTGCAGCAATGCTGGCAGCACTCATATGTCTGTTTCCCAAAGACAAACCTCTGGATATGATGCTGAGCACATGCACTCAACTTCTTTGGTCGACCATGGAGAGGCCTGTTCTGAGGCCTGTCCTGTTAAACCGCTGTATGGTCTTGGCCACCATGCTGCAGCTCAGTTTCAGGGTCTTGGCAATCTTATAGCCTAGACCATCTTTATGTAGAGCAACAATTCTTTTTTTTCAGATCCTCAGAGAGTTCTTTGCCATGAGGTGCCATGTTGAACTTCCAGTGACCAGTATGAGAGAGTGAGAGCGATAACACCAAATTTAACACACCTGCTCCCCATTCTCACCTAAGACCTTGTAACACTAATGAGTCACATGACATCGGGGAGGGAAAATGGCTTATAGGCTGTGTGTTAAGTTAATTTGAGGGGACAGCAAATTTACACTGTTATACAAGCTGTACACTCACTACTTCACATTGTAGCAAAGTGTCATTTCTTCAGTGTTGTCACATGAAAAGATACAATAAAATATTTACAAAAATGTGAGGGATGTACTCACTTCTATGAGATACTGTATGTTCCTTGCTAAAGAACATTATTTTTTTAATCAAGCTGTTATGGGTAAAATTCCTCTTTAACAGCTTTCCCATCGCCCTATAGTAGAAATACTTCTAAAGGGTGGCAGGGGTGTACAAAATCATGTATATATAAGTGATTTTGAATTTCCGGATAGGGGGTGTGCACGAGATGCGTGCACGCACACTACCCATGCTGCCTTTGGTAGCCTCACCTGTCGATCACTGGGTCCTGGCCAGTGATTTCCCCGCCAACACCCAGCAATCACCGTGTATCACCGACGGGGGAGAGACCTGTGTGTAAACAATACAGATCTCTCCCCTGTAAGCTCCTGCACACTGCTTTGTAGCAGAATACATTTTTACCTAAATTTATGATGAAATTTGATTTTTTTTTACATTTTTTAGAGCAAAAAGTCGAAAATGTTGTTGTTTTTTCAAAATTGTCAGTCTTTTTTTTGATTATAGCACAAAAAATAAAAACCACAGTGGCGATCAAATACCACTGAAAGAAAGCTCCATTTGTGGATAAAAGGACACAAATTTAATTTGGGTGCAGCATTGCATGACCACTCAATTGTCAGTTAAAATAACACAACGCTGTATCGCAAAAAAAGGCCTGGTCAGGTAGGGGGGTAAATCCTCTGGAGGGCAAGTGGTTAAATTAATAGGTTTAGCTCCATTATAAAGTGGTTGTAAACCTCAGACATGAAATATGAAAAAAGCTTAACCCTCTATAGTATGTACTTGTCTCAATGAAAGTAATACTAAACCCAGGACCCTGCATTCTCTATATCTGGTATCTCACAGTACACAGGTATGAAAATGCAATTATTTTAGTAAATATAAACTGTTAAATACCTTTTCTCATCAGCAATACATAACAATCTTGTGACATATCAGAGTCCAGCAGAACACTGGTTAAAGCTTGTAGGAAGAGTTTTTATTCACCTCTTACTGTCTATGAGGCTGCACAACCTTTGACCCTCTGTCTGGACAGTGCTGGTTGACCTTGTGCCGATCACATACACCCTCCCAAATGAAAAAATAAACTCTCTAGCAATACACACCAAACTGAGCATGTGAATATTGACTCCAAGAGCTCTGTGCTATCAATAGATGGATTGAGGAGTGGAACGATCAGATAAGACAGGATCAAACAGCTTTTTTACACAATGCAGAGGATTAACTCATTAGGTTCCACAGTGAGTATAGCAAGCATGCTTTACTGCATATACAGACTGATTTTACTCTTGTGGGTTTAGTAACATTTTAAAAGCAGTAAGGCCTGGTTCACAGCAATGCAATTTTTAGCACTCTTTACAGAAACGTACTACAGTCCGTTTAACATGGATTCCTATGGGACATATTCGCAATTTTGCATTTTTCATCCGTTCGTTTTTGCAAACTCAAAACAGTGCGTTTTATATTCAATAGATCTCAGTACAGATGCTGTGAAAAACACATGAAGCGCATTTTTAATGTGTGTTTGACCTGTTTTGCGTTTTAATCTGCACAGCAACAAATTGGCCAAAAAATGCATACAAAATGCAAAACGTGTCAAAAAAGCATATGAAATGCATGTGCAATAATGCAAAACACACCGCAAAAGCACTGCAGAAACAGACAGAACGCAAGCTGCATAGGTGTGAACCAGGCCTTAGTGTAATTTCTGTCTGCTGCTTTTGTTCCTTCTGACAAGTTTTCCTGACACCAAGAGAAAAGAAGGTGACAAGGGAGGGACCTCCAGCAGATTGACAGCCTCAGGTCTGTTCCTGTGAGCTGTGTGGAGTGGTGGTCGGTGGGGGTTTGAGTTGTCTCTTCCTTCCAATCAGCTATCAGAGCACTCCTCGCTTTGCCCTGCACTTTCAGACAAGGTTTATAATTCTGCACTTTGAAAGGATGTAGAGATGAGGATACTGCAGATAAACAGGTACAACTTATGTAGGAGGATTTGTTTCATCTCTGTGTATCACCTGAGGTTAGTCACTTCACAGGGTATATGTATGGGGTTATAACCACTGTAACATTCAGGCCTCGTTCACACAAAAAACTGCTGGAAACTGACGCACAGATTTTACTTGCAGAGCCATCAGTTTACATCTGTTTTCATGCGTGTTTCAATGAGGTTTATACACATTGCAGATTCCTGATTCTGATGCACGTGATACCAGTGTAGCAGTACCCCCTTAGGAGTCGCTAGAAGATTTGGGTCCCCCTATAGTCTTGCACAGCCTTGCAATCAGAGTCAGAAATCAGTCCTTGAGTTTTGGTTTGTTGTTTTATTTGGGGAATTTGAACTGGAATAGAGTTAGGGGTGTACATGATGTCCAAGGATACTGACAAACTGAGGACAACTTTCTGGAACTATTTACAAGCCTTCTCTGCAGCGCTGCCTTTGTTAGAGAGTTAGTCAGGCTTAATGTACCACCCCAGACCCAAGATGAACATCTCCTCTTCACCCAGCAATCTGGAGGGATCCCTGAAGTGGGGATCCAGTTCCTGTCATTTGAAGAGGTAAACAGTCATTAGTAGAGGGCTAATCTGGTTTTCCACCAGAGTGCTCCTTCCCCTATCTGCTCAGGGGGTGTAGGTGTACTCACTTAGATCCTCTCCTGTTCCGCCTATGGGTTGGTGGCTGCTACCAGGCCTATCAGCTGGGCAGCTCCTTCCCTGCCATACAGGTGGCCCTCTCTCGGGGGGGCCGGTAAGCTCAGAGTTTTCCTCCTTTCCAGCTCCAGGACTGCAGGTAAGCTCCATCCCACTGGGCCTCCTGCTCTCAGCCTCACATCTTCCAACCAAACTCTCCCTCCAACTCCTCTGCTACTGAGGAGGCTCCAACACTTTTAAGAGTGTCCAGTCCCTTGCCATCCTCTTGTTGGGGATTGGCTAAGATCCCTCAGGAGTGCAGCCATCCACTCCTCAGATCCACCCACTGCCTCTAGAGCACGTGTATCAAACTGGTGGCCCCCCAGCTGTTGTCAAACTACAAGTCCCATGAGGCATTGCAAGATTGACAGTTACAAGCATGACTCCCAAAGGCAGGGGCATGATGGGACTTGTAGTTTCGCATTAGCTGGAGGGCCACCAGTTTGACATCCCTACTCTAGAGCCTTCCTCCAAAAGCCCTAGAGCAGGGGGAAATTCCCGGGGTTGCTGGCCTACAGGGCCTCTCAGTCCTGACCACAATTTGACCCCTCTCTGGCTATTACAGCTGACCTGCTACTCAGCCCCTGTCTAACCGTATGAGTCTAGCTCCCCCTAGCTAAACTGGGAGGATGCTACGTCAGTGTTGTAGTGTGAACAGGACACATACAGAACAATTGATTTCTTTGTGACCTTGCAGAATGCATGCAGAAAAATTCACAATCTCTGAACCATGGTGTGAACGAGGCCTCAAACATCAGCAGTTAAAAAAAGAGAGTTATTGTTATTTATTTATTTATTTCAGGTACTTATATAGCGCTGTCAATTTACATACTTGTAATTGTACTTCAGTCATTCACCAAAAATGTAGTTGATATCTCCAAACTGTGCTCTAAATAATCCTTATGGGCTTGTGATACAGTAATAAAGAAACAATAGTAAAGACAATGTGTGCATAAAAATGAATTCAAATTCCTGTTCAATAAAAAATCAGGAGGAAGAAAAAAGAAATTGTGGAGATGCCGGGGATTGAACCCGGGGCCTCATACATGCAAAGCATGCGCTCTACCACTGAGCTACATCCCCTACACGGGATACTCCTGCTGCTATCACTAATGATTTGTATATTCGGCACCATACACCAACTAAGTACTATATCCGAGTTGAGTTGTGCTATCACGCTTTGGTATAAACACTCATGACTGCCCGCATGTCCGTTCTGTAAAATCCACTTTGCTGCCTTGCTGTGAGGCAATCACCGGCTCTCATTCTGGGAAGACATGTTTCCTCCGTCCTCTAGGTGCCGCACTGTCATATCACAACACGTCTTTTCCGCAAGTGGCAGGCTGCGTGTAGGTCACATGACGTTCCGGATCTTCGAGAGGTGGCCATTGGCTCCTCCCACAAGCCGGTGGTTGCGGTGGTGACGTGAGGGTCTGTGGGCCCCGGGACAGCACGTATCGGTGACGTAACGTCGGTGTGAATTTCCCACAGAGCTGACAACATGTCCGCCACAGGTCCCCCCGCCGCACAGCAGAATGGTGAGTGAGTATGGCTGGGCACTGTAATTCCGTCATAGGAGAAGCTGGCATCTGCCCTGACCCCGGGACATTGGGATATGTCCTCCTATAGAGCCGAGCCTTCCCCCATCACCTACATAGAGCTGGGGACAACTATGGGGGGGGGGGGGGAGGGGGGGTAGAGAGGGTGCACTGCAGAAGGAGCTCAGCATTCTCCCATGTACTCCAATACTATGGTATATACAGATGGAAGGAGGGTTAGCCCCACATCGGAGGATTGATGAAATGGAACAGATCATTTATTGATCCATCGGATACAAAGAGCACCAGGACATATACAAAGCCGTTAACGCGTTTCACACCAACACGTGCTTATTCATAGCAAAAAAACAGTTTTTTGTTGTGAACAAGCACGTGATCATGTGTAACAAAACTTTTTTTAGTTATGAATAAGCATGCGATGGTGCGAAACGCGTTAACGGATTTGTATATGTCCTGATGCTCTTTGTATTTGATGGATCAGTAAATGATCTGTTCCATTTCATCAATCCTCCGGAGTGCAGCTAACCTTTCTTCCTCATTCCATTACGATGCGGATTGTTCACCTGAGTGGTAACTCCTCTATTTTGTATATACAGATGTATGGAAGGATGGAGAGAGTCCAGATAGGGATGGCAAAAATGATACTGTGTCACCACTGAACACGACCCATTCAGGTGAACAGAGTGCGCTGCAATGCGCGGTGGTGGGATTTTCTGCGTTAAAACAGGGAGGAAGTCCCATAAACAAAAAATAATAGTGCAGACTTGATGGACCACTTGGTCTTTTTTCTGCCATCACTCCTCTATGTTTCCATCTCCTGTCCACCTGTCACCTGCCCTCTGAATAGAGATCGCTTTTCAGAGGGTCAGCAAGGTCAGTGTGAGCCTAGCCAGGATTTTTAGAGGCTTTTTTTGTATGTTCGTACTCACAGCTTGTAGTACAGGAGTGGAGTCACACTTTTTGTGTTTAGAGACTTTTAAAGTGGTTGTAAAGGCTCAAGGTTTATATTTTTTACCTTCATACATTCTATGCATGAAAGTGAAAAACCTGTTGTATGCAGCAGCCCCCCTAATACTTACCTGAGCCCTGTCTTGATCCAGCGATGTGCGTGAGGGCCTTGGCTCTGCAGGGACTCTTCCCCTTCATTGGCTGAGACAACAGCTGGAGCCAGGCAGCCAATGAGGAGGAGGAGGGGGGGGTGGGCTGAGCCACGGCTCTGTGTGGGAATGGACATGCAGAGTAGCTGATCAGGAGCCCCCATAGCATGCAGCTTGCTATGGGGGCACTAGACAGGAGCACCAGCGGGCGACCCGAGAAGAGATGGATCAGGGACTGCTCTGTGCAAAAGCATTCCACAGAGCAGATAAGTATGACATGTTTGTTATTTAAAAAAAAAAACTTGTCTTTAATTACTTGGCGCAGAGCATACACAAATATGCGGCCTCTTGGCAGCTGGGCCTTGGTCCCAGGAGGCCGCATATTTGTGTACCCAATGTAAACAAAAGATGTGTCAAGAGCGAACGCCCTGCGTGCTCCCGGCACATTTACCAGTGCCTCACGGAAAGGTCCAATCACTACTTGCGGTCAGGAACTTTCTAAACGTGTGACCTCCAATCATGGCAGTCACGTGACCCTAAAGCCTGCCCCGCCTCCTGGTGACAAAAAGTCCTTAAATGGCCAGGAGGCACCAGCACCAAGAGGTTAATATCACTTTAAGGCCTCGTTCACACGGCATACTGAAAGTGGAAGTCCAGCCTGTTCCTAACTAAGCTTAAAATGGTACTAAACCCAGGACCTGGATGAGACCAACTCCAATTGGCCAATGCTATCACAGTGAACCGGTCTCATCTGTCCTGGAAGCACTACACAGAGAAGAGGGAGTAGAGTGGAGATTTCAAATGCCCAGATTGCTGGTCCCATTGCATGGATGCTGACAATTCAGCAACCCCAGGGATAAGTACAGTGGAGACTGTGGAGGGGGGATGTGGCAAGGGTGTGCATTGTTCATCTTTACATTTTTTCTGTAAAAGTGAACTAACATTTTAAAGTGGAACTTTAGTAAAAAAATTATGTCCTGCTAGATCACTTCAGGCTGGTCCCTTTTACAGGTATAGCTATGTAAATAATAACCACTTGCCTACTGGGCACTTTCAGCCCAGGCCAATTTTCAGCTTTCATTGAATGAATATTGCGCAGTCATGCAACACTGTACACATTCAATTTTTATATTTTTTTTTAGACATAGAGAGCTTTTTTTGGTGGTATTTAATCACAACTGAGTTTTTTATTTTTTGCTAAACAAATAAAAAAAGACCAAAAATTTTGAAAACAGGTAATTTTTCTCCTTCACCGATGTGCTCTGATGAGGCTGCACTGATGAGTATTGGCGAGGTGGCACTGATAAGCACTTGTGGGCACTGACAAGGCCGCATTGGTGGGCACTGACGAGGCCGCTGTGGTGGGCACTGTTGGAATGGCACTGATGGACACTGTTGGGGCTGGGGGCTGCACTGGACTGCCTCTGATTTTATTAATACATTTACCGATTACCAGCTTTCCTCTTTCCTCATGCTGTGACAGCATGAGGAAAGTACAGCCAATAACTAGCAACTGTATTTACATTGTGATCAGCTGTGTCATTGGACACAGCTGATCATGTGGTAAAAGGGCGCTGTGATTGGCCCTTTACCATGTCATGTGGTCAGCTGTGTCCAACAGATACAGCAATCACAGAGCATGCCGTGTGCGTGCCCCAGGGGGCGCGTGGTAGGTGTGGTTCTGGAGGATGTCATATGACACCCTCCCAGAGCTAGACAACCGCGCTGTAGCAGTCATTCGGCTGTAGCCCAGTCATCAAGTGGTTAAAATAAGTGTATATATTTAAAATCCAGTAATACACTTTCAAACCCTGCTCTGCACATGCTCAATTGCTCTGTATTTTTAGGCACTGCTGACAGCCTGAGGATTTACTGCTGCTCAGAGGCTCTGGGCTTCAGCTAAATGGCAGTCTCCAGCAAGAAGAAACAAGAACAATTCTGGAGGCAATTTACAGCACACGCTAAGTTTGGTAGCATAATTAATGTGGAAGTTATGTTCTTTGCTAAAAAACATTATTTTTAATCAAGTTATTATGGATAAAATTCCTCTTTAACAGCTTTCCCGCCACCCTATAGCAGAAATATTGGTACAGGGCGGCAGGGGTGCGCAAAATCACTTATATATATATGTGATTTTGCATTTCTTCACGTTTTTATGGGCAAAGTTGTAATCTAAGCATTCACGCATGTGGGGGCCGTGTTTTGCCTGCACGGGATGTAAAGCAGATTGGGAGCAGTGCCTGTGTCTGTGCAGCTGCTGCATCCCAGTTGGCATGAATGGGACTGCCTGCAGATGGACGCGTGGATCACATGTGCGTTCCATGTGGGCAAAGCACAGCCCTTACATGGGTGTATACGTACGTGAACAAGAACTAAATGGGACCCCCTGAAAAACACACATCAGCACATCTTTTGTCCGCAGTGACTGTAAGGACACTTTATACACAAGACTAGCGTGATGAGCAGTGTGTAAAAATGCAAATAATGTGTGATGAAGTAAACCGTGCAGTGGGCTGAAATGTCAGACCTCACACTGACAGCTGCACCTATAGTAAAACGCTGCATTTATCACGTGGGCTAGTGTGAACAAAGTGTTTTTCATGCACCCTCATTAAAGTTTATGGAAGCAAAACGCTCAATTTTTGCGTCAAAGAAGTACATTTATTTTTCTAGCTTCACACAAGAAGTGACATGATTCTCATGTGTGGACAGGCCCACTGAGAGTTCATGAGGGATGCTTCATCTTGTGAATGGGGCTGAGGGATAAAACATTAAATCAGACTGGAGGGACTTAACACTAAACCATATCTTTATTCTCTAAAAATAATCCATACACATCTATTAATTAATAGTCCTGTAATCTGTTTTCTTTGCTTCCTTGTAATGTCCACCGTTAGCTCCTGCACCTCTCCCCCCACTTTTTTTGTTTGTTTGTAACGAGTAGTGCACCCTAGTTGGGGTCCTGTACACTGCTCTATGCACACTACCCATTCCATAATCCATTTTAGGAGCAAGCAAGAGAGGGTGACTACATTCCTACATACAGCAGGACCATGTAGCCATCTTCTAACAGGAAGGTTGATCACAGCAGTGGGAGGAAAAAAAGGTATTTGGCGGTTTGGAGGAGGCTGAAAGCAACATAAGGTACTTTTTTGACTTGAGAGTACATACTTGAATAAAAGCAGAAGTAGAGTTAAGAGATGAAATTATACTGCAAAGCTCAGTGAGGACAGCTCTGAGAGCTGATTGGAGGGAAAAGACACACCCCTTTCACACCGCATGCAGGAACAGAGCTAAGGCTGTCAATCTGCTGGAGGTCCCTCCCCTGTCACCTTTTTTCTTGTGGTATCAGGAAAACCTGTCAGAAGGAACAAAAGCAGTAGACAGAAATTACACTAAGGCCTGGTTCACACTTATGCAGTTTGCATTCTGTCTGTTTCTGCAGTGCTTTTTGCGGTGTGTTTTGCATTATTGCACAAGCATTTTTTATGCTTTTTTGACACGTTTTGCATTTTTTTGGCCAATTTGTTGCTGGTCAGATTAAAAATGCAAAACGTAATTCATGCTGATAGCAGAGGAACAAAGCAGCAGACAGAAATGACACTTGGTGCTTTTAATTGAGACAGGTGCACACTGTAGCGGGATAATATGTTTTGTTCATATTTCATGCCTGAGGTATACAACCACTTTAAGGTAAAAAAAACCTTCTGCGGTGTAGAATACCCCCCCCCCCCCCCCCCCCATTCCAGCGTTGTGCATGAGAGCAGAGGTTTTCTCTCTCCTCACTGGGCAGATTGATAGCTGCAGGAGCCAATGACTCCCACTGCTGTCAATCGAATCCTGTGATGTGGGAGTGGGGCTCTCGTCAAATAGGAGAAGCCAGGAGCGCAGACCCCAAGAAGAAGAGGGTCAGGGCTGCTCTGTGCAAAACCATTGCACAGATGAGATAAGTATAACATGTTTATTATGTTATTATTTTATTTTAAAAAAATTATCAAGAAAGTCAGAAATAAAAAATAAGCAGGAAAATAATAGTTGAAGGGAGAATAGGAGGAAGCAGTCAATTAGGGACTGATTAGGGCAAACCAAGAGTTAAAAAGGAACACCTATAAAATAATCATAAAAGGCTTCTATAACTGATATCATATGCAGGAGGACACTCATCCCTTTGATCTGCACATAAATGCAACAAAATAGATACAATGCAGTTTGTGTCAGAAAGTCCGTTTCTTTTTGAAAGCAGCAGCTTCTACAGCTGTTGTGGTTTACACAGCAACTCCCAGCTATCATGTTGACCCAAGGGGGAGAGGGTAATGGCAGAGAGGTTGGAAGAGAGGAAGTTATACACCTGCAACATGCATTTCTATGAAGTTTTTTTTTTTTTTTTTTTACGTTTGTAGTAGCTTCTTAAAGCAGTATTAAACCCAAAAGCAAACATTTAATATGTTGCAGCTTACCAATTCTTAGATTTTTTGTTTAAGCTTTCTTTTATCTGGTAATTCAGCCAGCAGCTCTGCTTTTCACAGCACAAACTCTCCCGCAGAATGTATCAGCTTACATGGATTAGACCTTCCATTTACCACTGACAGGGTTTATTAAAATGATCATCTTTTATTTATTCATGTAAAACCTTTATCCCAAAAGGAAAAAAAAAAAAACTGTTAGCTGGAGTTTGGCTTCAATTTGTTATTGTATTCAAATCTGCTAGAACATTTAACACTCCCACCAGCCCCAAGACTGACAGGGGTTTATTTACTAAACCTGGTTGACTCAGAATCTTGGGCACCTGTGCATGGTAGCCAATCAGCTTCTAACCTCAGCATGTTCAGTTAAGCTTCAGCAATAAAACCTGGAAGCTGATTGGTTTTTATGCAGAAGTGGACAAGATTCTGAGTCAACCAGGTTTAGTAAATAAACCCCACAGTGTCCCTATCCATTCCTTTGCAGAGTCACATTCATGGTGGCCTTCAGCAGTCCTTCACGGTACAAACTGTCCTCATAGGCAAAAACTGAGCATGCACACGCTGAAGGGGACCTGGCAGAGACACTTTTGGAATAAAGGCTGTGTGACTACAGATAGGCCCACCCAGTGAAGATCGATGGCAAGGGTAGGTAGGTAGGTAAGCGTTGGCCCAGGTGAGTTGCACTCAGGGGGATACCCACCCAGGACTTAAAATATGTGCTGCATTTTGTACACACAGTTTCAAAGCACTGGATAGGTGAATGCCAATGCTCCTATTCACTCTTCTTGCACACGTCTGTGTGACCCCACCACTTCCAAACCCACTATTGGTCCACCCAAGGCACCATGCCATTTTCAAAGCTGGAGTGTGGAGCAAGTGCTTTACAGCAGCCACAATGAGAAGAGCTGGCAGGTGCAAGGTTCAAAGCATTGCCTTGCCTTGCCTGTATACAACATGTTGTATGTGTGCTGTTGTGATTAGATTTCAGTAAAGTAATCATCTTGTCTGTGCAGTCAGTAGCAGGACTAATTAATTTGTATTGAAGAAGATACAGCTGACCAGTAAATTTGTGTAGACGAAGGTAAAGGTGAAGCTGAGCGGTAAATCTGAGCAGCAGATCTGTGGAGAAGAAGATGCAAGGTGTCCTAATTTCGGTGCATTGAGGTGTTTTTAAATCGGCTGGCTAACTCAACACAATAAGCACATAAGAATACATGTATTGCGGCAAGTTAATGGAAATTTACTAAGATTGGAGCAGACAGAATCGGAAGCAGCTGTGCATGGAAGCCAGTCCGCTTCAAACTCTCCTTTTCAGAGCTTAAGCCTGAACTTCAGGATAAGTGAATGTTGTCTGAATACAAGAGGCACGTGTATTCTTACTTGAATCTTGGGGATTGATTTACTAAAATGGGAGAGTGCAAAATCTGGTGTAGCTCTGCATAGAAACCAATCAGCTTCCTAATTTATTTATTTTTTGGTCAACACTTAACTGAACAAACTGAAGTCAGAAGCTGATTGGCTACCATGCACAGCTGCACTCTCCACTTTTAGTAAATCAACCCCATTGTGACTACTGAATTCACTGAACTGTTTGCAGGTAAATATTTTTACAAACTGTTATCATTGTTTATAAATTGCCTAAGGCCAATGTTATTCAATATGCATCCTGTGTTCCAAATGGATTTTGTATTGATTAGTGGGTTTTTAAAGTAAGATGGTGCCTATGAAAGGAAATTGGTTCTATGAGATGGAAGCATTTATGCTTATTTACTGCAATTCATCTTGAAAAATGCTTGCTTTACTAGTCATTCCAGAATGCATGCACTGAGGGTCACAGCATTTTGACATAAATGACCTATCAGTCGGTCTTTTCCTTTGTTCACCCATGTTCCATTTTCAGCTATTTGTTTTTTTGTTTTTTTTTTAATAGGGTTTCACAAAATATGTGCATGATTTTGTGCTCATACCTTTTATTCTCTGTATGGGATTGGCAGTGGGCTACATACAGGAATTTAAAATACAGGTTCCAGGTGTGTTTGGAGCCAATTTCTAAACGCACCTGAAAGCATGTAAATTGTTTGCTATGGCTGAAAACACACTCAGACTTTCAGCAATGTCTAGCTGGGTTTACACAATGACCCGGGTCGATTAGCCTCATATTATGCAGGTAAACGCAACTAGACCCAGGAACATCTAAACACAGAATTACAATTTGATCTGGGAGGCATAAAAGATTTTTTCTACTCATCAGATAACTTATCTTGTGTTTAATGCAGGCGGCCTTTGTGCATGGGGCCTTACTGTGTGATAGTTTTGTAAAATCACTAATTGACAGATATCTGTTTGATTTTAGGCCCTTCTCAGCCACAGCCGTCATATGGATACAGAAGCTATCCATCAACTACCAATGCCTCTCCAGCGTTCTACTCACAAGTGCCGAGTAAAGTTACTCCTTCTTATACAAGCAGCCAATATGGGCCGGATTATTACTATGCCAACTATGCAGCACTGCCCCCACAAAACACAGTGGCTCCACCTGTACATACCAATCATTTAAATGCAAATCAAGGCTCGCATCAATCATTTCATGGAGTTTCTTCAGGTGATCATATTTCTGCATCACATGGACCAGGCCAGGGTGCAGTTCCTCCTGTAGCTCCTGTCCATTCATATCCTGAATTTGCTGGTAACTTCAATTATGCATACTCTGCCACTTCATCTTGTCCTCCTCAGGGATTACCAGGTCATTCCAGTCATTACTCTGCTCCTGTTGTTTCGAATCCATTATATCATGGTGCACAATACTCTTCAATGTCTGCCAGCAGTCAGTATGGACAAGTTATAGCTGCCCATAGCCTTCAATCAGCCAATCAGGTGACTGGCAATGCACAGAGACTACAGACAGCTACTGCTTCTACGCTACATCCTAATGATTTGCACAGACACAGTGCATCCCTTGCTCCTTCTGCAGAACCTAGAAAGGCTCAGGCTGGTCAGGTTCAAAATCACAGTTTATCTTTTGTACCTACCAATCAACAATCTACTTCAGGTAAGATGCCTCTGAATATATTGTTTCTGATTCACGCACACACACACACACACACACACACACATATATATACTGTATGTGTTAAAAACAATGTTACTTCCTTTTTTCAATGGGGATTTTGCCACTTGTTTTCAGTAAGTGCTTAGTGCATTGAGGAGTCCTGAACAGTTGCTACTCCACATGATAATTCTCAGGACAACCAGCTGCTCACAGGATGTAGCAGAAAATCCAATGGCCTTCTCTCAGATCTTACCGTGTGAGAGGCATTTTGTACTACAACACTGACAGTTTCCCAGGACATAGACTGCTCACTCAGTATTGCCCAAACCACAACAGTGTTTCACCGTCATTGCCCACTTCCCCACCATAAATTGTTCCCTCAGCAGTGATCCACAACACTAAACACTCTCCATACTTTCTTTTAATGTCTACCCTAGCTTCTGTCAAAGCTTCCCCCACACTTTCTGCAGTAACTTCTGTAGAGGCTCCCCTCCACAGTGCCTGCACTATGTTGTTTGGCATTCCCTTTCCATACTGGGATTGATTCAGTACAGAAAGAGTGTTCAATTCCTTTTTTTGATAGGTGCATCATGGCTGGTACAAATATCTGCTCCACAACACAACAGTGGACTGCTCTTCCTTCCCAGAAGGGAGTTTAGACATGTCCCCTGCTTACAGGCCACAGTTGTATCTAAAGTGTGTATAAACCTTAATTTAAAATGTGTTAACTTTTTCATTCCATTCACTTGTTCTGTTCTTCCATTCTTTTAATTTCTTCCTCTTATTTTGTCATCTTTTAAAGATGAACACCACCTATCATATAAGTACCTTAAATAAATAAATAAAATATAAAATCCATATAATTGGCCCTACATGAAAATAAAGAAAAACATACTTACATGAAGTCCAGAGCTGTGTTGTTGCAGGCAACGCTACCCTTGCTTTACTCTTCTCCTAGCGCCACCATCTTGAAGACAGATCTGGTGTGCAGACACGCTGCAGATCTCTGGTCCTTTAGATTAGCCATCACAGGAGGCAGTGTTGCCAGTTTATGTCATCATCCCCATGGCGAGAGAAAAGCAACATTGTAGAAAAAAATTGATTTGTTGGGGTTAATAGTTTAGTCTTCTGATGCTGCAGTAAACAAGCTCCTGACAGGGATCCGCCCCTTTATCCTTCATTGCAAAAAGTTGTTTTATAAAGTACATTGCATGTTACAAGATATCTGAATGGGGAAGAGTTGCATGAGTCACAGGGTTCTCTCCCCCTTTCAGTGATTGTTACAAAGTACACTATGAAACAACTTTTCCCAATGGAGGAGTAGGTGGATCTCATGGAGCTTGTTACGCTAGTAAACTCCTGCAGTGCCGAAAGTTCAGCAGCAGGAAAAGGATGGGTCATGCCTACACAGAATATTTATAAAGGATCCAGCTGCCTGTACAACACGGGGCATACTTCATTACAGGTAAGTTACCTTACTTAGGTTCCATGCACATTAGCGGTTTTTATAAGCTCAAAAAAATGTTGGATGAAAAACACTGATAAGAGTGTTTAGAAGCACTGGCGTTTTTACAGTACATGAAGGGGAAAAAAAAGCTTGAAAAAAGCTATTAGGAGCATTTTAGTAGCGTTCAGCTGTTTTTTTCTGCTAGAAAAAGGCTCCCAAAAACTCTAAAACATTTTTTTTTTTTCTAAACGCTGAAGCTTGAAAAAAATGATTTTAGCATAGAATAGTGTGCATGAACACATAGGATAACACTATTAGCTTCTAGGTGCAGAAAAAAAAATGCTCATAATAGCTCCTATGAGCTTAAAAAAACGCTAATGTGCATGGAGCCTAAGCCCTGGTTCACATATATGCGGTCGTGCAGGCCGTGTTTTGCACAGGCACGAGAGCACATTCATTTAAATGGACTCACGTGCCCCGGAACACGCAGGGAAGAAGTCCCTTCACTTCTTTGGAAATCGTAGCCCGCACGGGAACCTCAGTTCCCAGTGCGGTTGCGATTTCCAGTGTGGGCGGCATGCCATTAGAACTAATGGCACCCGCCCGCAGGTCCGCATTCTTCTGTGCGGGTGGTGCGGCTGCACAGATTTTTGTGCGGATTCGCAGTGGCACTACCCACACAGATGTGAACCTAGCCTCAAGCTGTAGAATAGATTTTTTTTTTTTTTTTTAAATTCTTCTTTTAGCTATAGCTAAACATTCCCCAGTAAACTATTTGTTGACATTCTTATCCCCAGCACCTACAGTTTATAACTTTCAGTGCTACTGGCTTCTGCTCTCTCAGTGCTGCTATTTATCAATACAAGTGTATTTTTTTTTTTTTTAAAAAGTTACATTTGAAAAACTGCTGCACAATTACTGTGTGACATAAAAAATTGCAACACCCACCATTTTATTCTCTAAAGCCCCTGCTTAAAAAATATATAATGTTTGAATGTTCTGAGTAATTATCGAACAAAAAATGCTGATTTTTACATGAAGGAGAGAAATGTCAGAATAGGCTGGGGACTGAAATGGTTAAAGGCATTATAAACCTGCCTACCTGCACCTTGTCACCTGCATAAGGGGTGCTTTGCTCCTCTGAACACCAGAACTCAAAATGCGCCTAATGCTGCATATTGCAAACCCCTTGAGGTGCATCAAGCATTTGAGTGTTAATGGATTCCATTGGCCAGAGCATTAATTTATTCTTGGAATTGGAATGCATTAACACTTTAAATGCAGCTAAATGTGGAATTAAAAATGAATGTTCTTTAACATACATTCCACATAAATAATTATGGTACCAAAATTAGTGTGTGCTGTAAACTGCCTCCAGCATTGTTCCTGTTTCCTCTTGCTGGAGGCTGCCATTTTGCTGAAGCCCAGAGTCCCTAAGCAGCAGTAAATCTTTCGGCTGTTAGCAGATCGGCCTCTAAATTTTTGGCACAGTGCCGAAAAATAGAGAGCAACTGAGCATGTGCAGAGCAGGGTGAGACAGTGTATTAATGGATTTTAAACAGAATACGCAGTTATTTTTAATGCTTTACATAGCTATACCTGCACAAGGGGCCAGCGTGAAGTGGTCCAGCAGACTTAATTTTCTGACTAAGTTCCATTTTAATATCAGAGTATGTACAGAAGGTTTGAAAGCAGTACTAAACTTTGATTCACAGAGGAGGACAGAGCCATCTTTAAGGAGGAGCCAGGCAGAAAATTGTCAGCTGGACAGCAGTTCCATCCCTGCACATGTAGTCGCTATTCGGGCATTCTGGCAAGTGGCTGTTTCAATTATCAAAATAAGATAGCCACAGTGAGAGGTTCCTGCTTATGCACTGTATAGCATGGATGGAGGAATGAAAATAATGTGTATACATCCAACTTTAGCCTTTGTTTAGATCTGCAGTTATCAGCCAGGATGCTGCACAAGTGACCAGCTATGATACTTGCCATTTGAAGGTTTGAAAGTTTGGTTGAAAGCTAACGGAATGAAACTGCCATCTCTTATCACCAGAGGCATGCTTTAAAGTGGTTGTAAAGGCTCAAGGTTTTTTTTGCCTTCATGTATTCTATGCATGTGTGCAGCAGCCTCCCCCAGCCCCTCTAATACTTACCTGAACCCCGTCTCGATCCCGCCATTGGCTCCTGCTGCTGTCAGTCACAGCCAGCAAGCCAATGAGGAGAGAGAGGGGGCTGGGGCGTGGCTAAGCTATGGCTTTTTGTGTGAATGGACACGCAGAGTAGCTGCTCTTGAGCAATCCTGCTTAGATGTTCCCATAGCAAGCTGCTTGCTCTGGGGGCACTCCGTAGGAGGTAGGAACAGGAGGGCCGGCGGAGGACCCGAGAAGAGGAAGATTGGGGATGCTTTGTGCAAAACCACTGCACAGAGCAGGTGAGTATATTTTTGTTATTTAAAAAAAAAATAGCTTTTAATATCACATTAAATGTAACTATTTGGGAAAATGGTTAAATGAATGGGGTTAGTTCCTTCTTGGGTTCATAAATCAACACCGAGATAGGGGGTTGCAGAGAATATCTGCGTCAACCAATAGCATGATCCCAAAGGATAACCCTATGCATCTAACATCAGCTCTTCTGAAATGGAGACACCAGGTGTCCTCTCAAATAGGGAACCATTTCTGCTGCCTGACCTCTTAGTAGCCACGTGGCTATTGTTACACCACTGGCTCCAGCCAGGTTGGTGAAGCCTGATGGGTAAACTGCAAGACTAGTTCCCCATCAACACTGCTTCACTTTTTAGCGACCGTGCACAGCAGTGGGCAGTTTTTAAAACCACTATAGTGGCTATAGATCTGCCCACTCTCATGTGCTGTCAATCAAATATGGGGCTCCCAGCTCCCAATGAGGCTCCTTCCACCCCTAGTAGAAAACGCTTCTGGTCAAGCGTCTGTCAGTGTGACAGTTGCAGTGGCCGAGAGGGAGTAAAGAAATGTCCAGTGTGGACACTCCTTCCCCAGTGCAGACACAGAAAAATGTATTGTATTTGTGACAGGTACATGAATTGGGCACAAACGCTGACACTTTGGGTGCTGCGCCCCAATGGAATTCTAAAGGGTGTCTACTACACCCTTTATGAATTCCCCTGATAGTGTTCCAGAGGTGTTCAAGGCTCCCATGTGTTGTTTTTTTGCATGCAGTGTGCTACTAGAAAGAGCTATGCTGATATTGTATAGCTTTCACATAAATTCATCTTTTAAATGTTGCCCTGTAGTCTGGATATTGTGATTTTAAATGGAATCAAGTTTAACACTTTTTTTTTTTTTTTTTTTAAATCTTTGATCAAAATTCTTCATTCAACCAGTAGTTATCTTTCCTCTCCTTTTAAATAGTTCTGTACTTTGTAACAAGTAGAATGGAATCTGATGCAGGGTCCTACATAGTCCTGAACAGTTTGGGAAAGGTATAATTCCTAAATGTTGCAAGTCATCAAACCTGTGCAGAACATTAATTGCATTTTGCTAGTTTTAAAGTTTTTGTTATTGGCTGTAGGAGA